TATATGAAAGTTTTCGCTGTTTTTTTAGAAAAAGAGAAAGATAATTGAACCGGGTATTTGAGTAAAACCAGCTAATTGAACTAGGTATTTGAGTAAACCAGATAACAAAACCAAACAGTTATAGAAAGTTTCTGAGATCTTATTTGGGAGATGACACCTAAACATTTTTTCATATATCACTTTTTTGAATAATATATGAAAGATTTTATTTGTGATGTCATATCAGAGTAAAACTTAGCAATGTCATAATAAAATTTGTGAGATTGATTGTGAAGATGACAACTAAACATTTTTCATAAACAGTTTTTCATAAACATTTTTCATAAGAGTTTGTGAGATTGATTGTGAACATGACAATTAAACATATTTCATAGACATTTTTTCATAAACATTTTTTCATAGAAATTTTATCATAGACATTTTATCATAGCTAAATAAACATGAAAACAACATTTTTATTACAACACAATCTTAACGAGTTGTTTTTCAACCATTACTGAACTAGTGTTCGAATCTCTCTCAAGAGCCAATAAAGATATCGTTCATCTTGAGATACTTTTTTTAGGGGTTTGAGTAGTGGTGGTTGTAGGTTTGAACGGATTGGAGGTTTTAGGAAGAAGAGATCTTGTGCTAATGATTATGATAGATGCTTCAAGAATGCAAGGCAATGGGGTGGTGAAGCTGTGGAGTTTGACAAAAAAAACAGAGAAATGGGAGAAAAAGGCTTCCAAAAATGAAGGAAGCAAGAGAGAGTATTGTTTACGCAAAAAGAGAGCATGAAGCAAGAGCTATGAGTAAAAAGAGAGAGGATGCAGAGGCTGAAATGGCGAAAGGAAATTATCTCAAACAAAAGTACGAAGCAGACATTGATGAATCATCTAAGGCAAGAGACTAAGTAAGCAATTGATCTGTGGAAAAATGTTGTTTTAATGTTTAATTAGTTTAATAAAAGTATGTATTAGTATGTAAGAGATTCAATTAAGGTAGTTAAGAACTTGAAAACTAGTTAAGATTGTGTCTTTGTAATAAAAATGTAACTTTGATGTTTAAATGTTTATTTTCATAATGAAGACAAAGTTACAAGAGATCTTCGGCATGGACAAGATATAA